TGTGTATAAGAGACAGTTATTATTATTATTATTATTTATTCATTTATATTTCAGACTGATAGTGATGGTTGTGTAGGGTGCGGCGATCCAATATCGGACCGTTTCCTCTTAAAGGTTGGACATCATTCCTGGCACACGGGATGCCTTCATTGTTGTGTGTGTGCTTGTAGTCTAAGTGGTCATCACAAGTGTTACTTCAAAGACGGACAGGTGTACTGCAAGATAGACTATGTCAGGTATGTTTTTCCGAGGTCTCTTATTAAAATGGTTCCGAATGTAAAAAGTACAAAAGCGATAATTAGTCAACAGGCTGTTATTTCAGTGGGCCTACATCCCTGGCTGCCAATCTATTTTCTGTCTCTTATACACATCTAGATAATTACCGTCATTAAGATTATAATGTCTACCTAATATTATATTGGGTTGATTTTACAGTAACTTAACGACCTAGTCATCAATTAATTATTTGGTAATTAAAATTGATGTAGTCGCAAGGTTCAATCGTCAAAAACTGCATTGTCGGCCTATTATGTCATTGTCACAGTTCCGTTTTTTGGATTCTATTTACAACGAGTAGTACCATACGTTACTTTTTCTCGTAATTGGATAATTAATACGTTTTAATAATATGGCAGGGTAGTAGTATTACAATAGGAGTGAGACTGGAGTCCAGTGACCTTCCTAGTCCCGCCTCACCTATAAAAGTCACTAAGCCCCATTGTATTCGATTCAATAACAGTATTACTTACTCAAAACATCAGATCCATACAGCTTTGGCTACTACGGGACTGGTATGTCTAGAATGTATTTGGTCAACCTTACTTAGAGCGGAGCTGAGCGAAAGGATGTTGGCTTGAAAGACCTGCAAGAACGTACGTTCACTGCCTATCAACTATGGTTTCCAAGAAATTATAAGAGGAAAACGAGTACAATACAAATTTAAGCCATACACACACCCACACACACACACACATAGATATTATTAAAATGAAAAATACTGAAAAAGAAATGATAAGCAACAGCTAAAAAAAGTAACGTAAGTAAATAGCCAGAAATAAAAGATGTTTCGGACAACATTAGTCCTTCCCCAGTGGCGAATGTGAGAGGGTATAAAAGGTCAGATAGTATAAAGTGAGAAGTGATGCAAACATATTTGATATATATTTATATATATATATATATATATATATATATATATATATAATCGATCTAACAGCATCGACTGATTATGTTGTCTATAGTGAGTGTATAATGTATTTACCATCCAACATTGTACGCTCAGTATTTCTTTCCATTTATTTTAGAAATTGTTCTATCATATACATACATACATACATACATACATACACATATATATACATATATATATATATATACATAATATATATATTTTCTATATATATATATATATATAATATTTTAAGTCTTACATTTTCTGTCACAAATTTAAGGGTATCTTAATCATACATAGGTCTTTTTTCACTAAATGTATATATATATATGTATATATGTATATACATTTTTAATTTTTTTTTATTTAGAACATTTTTAATTATTTTTCTTAGAACTCGATATTAATGTATAGGCCTACAATATTTATATATACATAATATATATATTTTCTATATATATATATATAATATTTTAAGTCTTACATTTTCTGTCACAAATTTAAGGGTATCTTAATCATACATAGGTCTGTTTTCACTAAATGTACATATATGTATATACATTTTTATTTTTTTTAAATTTAGAACATTTTTAATTATTTTTCTTAGAACACGATATTAATATATAGGCCTACTGTTTGCTTGAACTTTAAAGTTTGTACAGTAAGTGGTATATACATTATTAGGAAATAATGCGGGGTTGTTTTTTTTTTTTTAACAATACGTTACTTTCCACTGACATCAACATTTAAAGTAATGTGCTTTTGTAGAAAACGTAGCATTCCTGAGTTACACACCATGTCATTCAACTAGCAGTTCGCAAAGAATGAGCCAAAGAAACACCCATGAACTCGTAATAGAAGTGTGAATATGTAGATGGTCTCCCATTAAACAAAAGTATGAGGCAACTGCAGTAGGACAAAACATAATAAAAAGCCTGTCTTAAAAATAAGACAATAAGGGGAGCGATCAATAGAGTCTTATGTAATTACGTCACAGTGATTGACAGTTAGTACTTCTTAGCAAAAGTGCAGAAGACGCCACCAAGGCGTGGTTTCCCATTGGCTGATCTAAAGTTGAGAGTTTTCAATTGGATAAACCCACACGACACGAATGATTGTGCCTGGTGGTACAGGGACGAAATCTGTACGATAGTTAACTCAACCACGTTCTAAGGCTTAACTTATTCTTGCGATCATACAAACAACAAATGAAGATACGTAATCGTAGCCCCGGTTGTATCTTTTCAGAAAAATTTGCTAAGGCAAATTTAACAAGTAAAATTGGCCCAATGTTGGGTACTATAGGCAACAGAAATGTGATTGTAAAGACTGAGCCGGGATCTGTCGAAGATTTTACCAGCGACGACGAAAGTATGTCGGTAAGTTGGCAGAAATGTTAAATGTGCAGACACAAGAGACTAAAGAAAATATATATAAACTGAATATAATTTATAAATGTTATATTTTCATTCTATTTAAAGAATTATAAAAACAAACACTATGAGACAGCAAATATATATATAGATAGATAGATAGTTAAGAATTAACATCTTAAATAATCAAATATTTGACCAACCAATATTTTTATATATTTTAATGATATTTTACTTGACTCCTTATGCTACTTTAGGCCTGTGTTCTCATCGGCATCTTAGAGCCGAGCCACTAGACAGTGATCTATTAGGTTTACCGTACGTTATTGTAACGTAAAATTTTTAATATCATATCATATATATCATGGATTTATGAGAAATTACAAAATTGCAAGTTGATATGTAGACTTTTTATATAATATACATAATAGGATGGCCGTTGATTCACGGTCGATCGCTCGAAATGTGTGTATATTTACCTAAAACAATAGAATGGACAGTACTTTGTAATTTCTTATATCAATATCAATTTTAGTTATTTATTTTACTCTGTGAAGTTATACTATAGTCTATTTCTTCCAAGTGAAAATTAACCAACAATTAAAACTGAATGTGAATCAGCATTGCCCTTATATGAAAGCTAGAAAAACCCATATTTAAAATGAGACAGTTATAACATATAGGCTTATATAACAATTTCCATATTATCATCACAACATTTATTGTGTACATTGTTATAATTTATTATTTTTATATTTATCATCATCATCATTATTATTATTATTATTATTATTATTATTATTATTATTATTATTATTATTATTACTATTATTATTATTGTTATTATTTATTCATTTATATTTCAGACTGATAGTGATGGTTGTGTAGGGTGCGGCGATCCAATATCGGACCGTTTCCTCTTAAAGGTTGGACATCATTCCTGGCACACGGGATGCCTTCATTGTTGTGTGTGTGCTTGTAGTCTAAGTGGTCATCACAAGTGTTACTTCAAAGACGGACAGGTGTACTGCAAGATAGACTATGTCAGGTATGTTTTTCCGAGGTCTCTTATTAAAATGGTTCCGAATGTAAAAAGTACAAAAGCGATAATTAGTCAACAGGCTGTTATTTCAGTGGGCCTACATCCCTGGCTGCCAATCTATTTTAGTGGGCACAAAATGTTCATATCCCATAATTTAATGCAGTTGACAAGTTGGGGGTGCTGTTGTCAAGAGAGAACACATCTACCTCGGCCTCATTATGACTGGAGTTGATGTTTGTCACCCGCTCAGAAATCGCACTCTTATGAAAATGTTTTCAAAATCTCTTAGTTTGAAAATAAGAAGTAAAAATTCATTATAAATATTTTCGAACAATTCGGCATTCTCCTGGGTGTGCATTATCTATTTTGGGCTGTCTCGAACATTTGAGAACACTCAGTAAACATAAGCTGTATCGCGAAAGTTATATGATTTTTTAAAAATTAGGCCTCAGTTTTAATGCAATCGATGTTAAAATTGCGATAGGCCTATATATTCAGAGCCTATAGGCTTGAAGGAATGTTTTAAATTTAAAAAGGTTATAATTCAGGAGCCTCTTGCTTAGACAGAAACATGCATAGCTTATCTTGCCAATATTTTTCCTATGTTTTGCCAGGAACTTATATGTCTAAGGATATTTTCTTTGCTTGGTAAGCAGTCTTGCAAACCTCAAAAATGTTTACTAGTCTTGCCCACCCATATACATTTGTGTCAAGACAACTTGAAAACCAGAGCAGTGTGGTAGTATAAAATATGAGAGTGAAAGAATGTATTTAGACACAACAACGAACTTTTAAATGTTCTGAAGTGGTGGGGCAAATCAAGGCTGGCCATGACAAACTATTCAATTCCAGGGCTCAGAGCACCAGTAGGCTTTTCCAACCTTCATCCATTTGAAGATGATAAACAAACTTAATCATAGTTTTGACCAGGATCATATGCCACAGAAACAGTCTTCAAATTAAACAGATTTTGCTAATTTAAAGAAACATATCGGTTGACTAAACTAATTTCGTATTTCATATAGGAATAAAACTATAATCAAAATTCAATAAATGGGTATTTGATTTTCTCAATAAAACCATATGCGCATAAATACCTATGATTCAGAACACACGAAAAATGTCATTACAGTATACAAACTAATTGTGTCCATTCACCAAAAAAAAATATTTGCCTATGTAGGCCTAAGTATGACGCAAATTGACCAACTGGCATTCAACCAACACCATCCTTGAAAGAAACTACACAATGATTATACGATGCCCAAACTAGATGCACGAAGGCTACTCTTTTGTTGTACGGACAGTTTATAAGGGTGCATATTACCCCCTCTCATTGGCCAGGCATTTCCTCACAAGGCTATCACTCTGGATTAACGATCTTAAACTAACACACGCTAATTGATTATATAAAATAATATCAATAATAAAATCGATGGTGATCGACCAGTGTTTCTATTGCATTGAAATGGTGGTGAGTGGTATTTAAACAAAATACTCAATTCGCATTATTAGTCACTAGTTAACCTCCACAGTCTTTGCTTTAATCTCTTTTAATTGAGCAAGTACTCTCGGTTATTTATAGAGGAGACTTAATATACAACAATGAATACCCCCATCTAAGGCTGTTGATTGGAATTAGGGTGCTAATGATTTTCCTTAAGGCTGATGAAACCGATTATCTAAATGATGTGTTGATATAACACGTTGGCCACTTAACTCTAACAAATCGTTTAATAAAGTTAATTTGTATAGTGGGATATGCGGTAATTGAGTCGTGTCCAGTACTTTGGAGTAATCTTTTCACGTCGATTTTGGTATCAATCCTTAACAAAATAAAATTTCATATAAAATCCTAAAAACTAATTTAAAAAAAAGAAAGAAACCTGCTAAAAAGACAAACGTTATGTGGATATCAATCAATTACGATGGACATTATCTGAATAGGAACCTAACTTTCAAAACTATTGTACCAGTTGTAATCGTTCATGTGGTCTGCATTTCAACTGTACGATAACAAAGCTCGAATACCTTCATGTTCGTGCACATTCGCACTATGAATCTGCTGTAATTTAATAGGCCTACGTAGGTATTCCCTCTATAGTATAGTATATCACTCTAAGCTTTAGTAGGTCTAAACTATTTGTTAAAGTTATAATGTCCTAGTAGGCATATTTCTAAAATTTCTTATTTTTTGAATGTCTTCTCAGGCAGTATGCCTATTACTTAATGTTAATAGATTTCTTACTGGTTATCTTACTTAATTTTTGTCTGTTTCAACAGGGAATTCGGGACAAAGTGTGCACGGTGTAAACGAGGTATACAATCTAGTGACTGGGTCCGGCGAGCCAAACATTACGTGTTCCACCTGGCCTGCTTTGCCTGTGACAACTGCAAACGCCAACTTTCGACGGGAGAAGAGTTTGCCATGATGGACAACAGGGTCCTTTGCAAAGCACACTATATGGAAACCGTCGAGTTGTCGATGAAAGGCGGGTCTGGGAGTGATGGAGGTAATTATAAAAATATATATTTTTTCTCCTTCACCGGCACTCAGACCGAGTGGAATTTGTGAATATGTGGTTAACTTTTTTATGTCATGGGTTCAGCTCTTGGAGAAAATGTAGGAATTCATCTATCACTTACACCCACACTTCAGTACTCGTAAAGATACTTGTTTAAATAGTTGAGCAACCAAAACCCCAGTATGAATAGCTTGATGAACGGGTCGTCATCATAGTGGTATAAAAACTCTTAGACAATGTTTGACTACCGTAATCACCCTAACATCACCATAGTTGAAGGTTTCTTTATTTGACAGTTTTAGTCACTATATTAACAATTATAGACCTACATAGTACGTGACCTAATAAGGCGAAGGTGCCATCATTTTATAGCGGCCTATAAAGAAATATTAAGATTACTCAAATTATCCTGTATATAGACATTATATCATTGTCATTGATATAGGCCTATACTATGCTTTGTTATTGTTGCTGTAATACTGAATATAATCTCATTCTCTCTATGATTATTGTTTCAGAGGGCCTTACTTAGGTATTTTAGTAATTTCCAATTGTTTAGTTGTTTGTGTTCAGTTAATACATTTTAAGTTCGTCCGTTTAATTACAAACCACCAAGTTATTGTCTATACCCTTTGTGCTTGATATTTGCTACGTCTACACCAGACTCATTGTTGTAACCTTTAATACACCCAATAAAGGCTGTCTCTTATACACATCTAGATGTGTATAAGAGACAGCATAAAGATAATCAAAAATATGTTGTTTCATGTTTGCAGATAGCTCATACGATTCGTCATCTGGTCAATCAAGGATGCTCCACCGACCAAAGCGCATCCGTACGACGTTCTCAGAGGAGCAGTTGGAGGTGCTGCAGGCAAATTTCCAAGTGGACAGCAATCCTGACGGCCAGGACCTGGAACGGATCGCCACAATCACTGGTCTAAGCAAGCGAGTAACCCAAGTCTGGTTTCAAAACTCGAGAGCGCGCCAAAAGAAATATCAATCCCGCGGCGGGCACAACGAAGGATCGCCTCCAAGTCGTAAGTTAACTTGATTTTTTACATTAAAAATGTGCGTAAGCCTCTATAAATGATCTGCACTCATAATAAGCCTTTAATAATAATTCAATTTTTACCGCGCCTTCTTCAAAATGGTGAAAACGTTGATTGGTCAAATTTAATTACCTCTTGAAGGCCCTTCTGCTGTGATCAGTCATACACAGAGCAATCCATAAATACAATTACAGAATATTTTGGCGAGAAATAAATCGGATTAATTGTGTTGGCATGTACATTGCGATAGTCATAATTACGTTAATTATTGTCGCGTATGTTAATCAACCAAGATTTTACATGAAACATGTCATAATGAGTGTATAAATACATCAGATTGTATAAGACTGAAATACCATATACATACATTATAGTCCCGGAAGGGGTTGTACTAAACAACCAAAATCTGTAAACTTTCTGTTTTCATCATTAAATGAACATGATGATGGTTTTGTATTTTCTGTTTGTTTTTTTCAGTATTTTTCATAATAAATAGAACTAATAATTACGAGTCAAATATACTTACAACTAATTTTAATTTATTTTCCAGCTCCACAATCTCCGTGTGTTAAGTGCGGGCATACATACTGCGCCTGTACTCACGTAATGCTTTGTTCTCCAAAATCGTAACGTCTTTTATGTCGTCAAACGAAACCGTTAACTTGAAAAAACAGCAACTATTTACAGAATACACGACGATCCTGGTGCTCAACGTATATTTTATAATTATTTATGCGTTTCTTAGAATTTATTGAATATTCGAAGTGATCAGAAAGATACCATGCCATGTTAATTAAATAAGGTTTATCTTGTATTTAAGGTTATAAATGTATAATCCTACAAGAAAATATTAATTAATTCATTAGGGTATTTATTAATTTATTCATCTATCTATTTATTCAAAGAAGGTTTTCATTGGCTTCATTCAGTACAATTGTTCGATCTTCCATAAGTCCCACTTTTACACAAAGAATGAACATGTAGGCCAACAGATCATTTTGTCCGAACAAATGTACTTACAGGTTATTGCCTGTGTGTGATCGAAATATGTAGTCATGTGTAGTAAATTTCGGAGCAAAAACATGCACCCTGGTAAAGGAGGATCAACTGTATTCTAAGTTCTGAGTGATATGTATAACATTGTATAATTAAGGGATTTTCATGACCGGTTACTTTGATATTTCGAAACATGTTTAAAGATAAGATATATGTATTCATTTTTAATTTATTTAGTTTTTCTGTATTTGTCTCTTTGGTAGAGCTGGACAAAATTATTTTAAAATATATATGTGCAATAAAAATAGGATTTTTTCGATTAAATACAGAAAACCGTTACCAAATATATTATAATATTCATGCAACCGACTGGATATTAACAATCTTTGTTTGCAAATGGTCATGAATGTGTTGTTCCCTATCCTTAATTATGCATGCAGCAATGAAGTACAGTATATACACATGTTACATAACATAAATAGTATTCCTGTATTTATGTTACTATTACTGGTTTCTACGCATGTGTTTGAATGGAGTTTGTGTATGCCTATATTTTTTTTCCTAAATTTCCGTTCCTTAATGCTTAATTTTTATAAAAAAATTCTCATGTCATTTTCCATTTTGTTCATTTTTTAATTTCTATTTTTATTTACTATTTATTTTTATTATTGCTATTTCTCACTTAAATGCTACCAACCATATGGTACAGAAAACAACTCAAAAATGCTTTTGTTTCGTTACTAATAATATTATTATTAGTTACTATTCATGATATTATTATTATTATTACTAATATTCATATTATTATTAATAGTTTTTAGGCTTATTACTTTTGGTAATATTTTTGTTCATTGTTTTTTTTTTTTTTTAATATTTATATAGTTATTTTTTAATAATACTAATAAGAAGTATTATTATTAAATACACAAAATATTTTAAGATATTTCTTCCCTGGATTTTTGGTGGATCTCATAAGTGTTAAGTGTGACACCTATTAATGTTCAGGCTGTGTAGTATGGAACGCCATACACGCTCGATAACGTTTTTGACATCCTAGTTTTAAACTAAAGAACAAATCTTATCTTACTTTTTCGGCACTCAAGATTATCATTGGGAAAAAGTTTCGAATATGCAATCAACTGTTGGAAACAGCTTGATGCGAATTAATATATTAAGATTAGTCATAGATTGTGTAAATAGATATTACGATATAATAGATACTGTACGAAAATTATATTGGTGGCCATAGGCCACACGTATGTAAGTAAATATTGTTTTGTATAATGTTGGTGTGTATTATTGTTATTAGTAGGCTTGCGCTGAATAAATGTTGAAAGACGTTTCCTTATTGAACTCATGATTTGTGCAATCCTTGTTTTTTTTTAAAATTAATGTGCGACACCTTTTTTCTTAATATACTTTAATAAGAGTGGTGTGGTTAGTGTTAATTTAATATTCTGCATTGTTGTTGTAAGTTGTCACATTCATAAATCTATATCTGATCTATAATAACAGGTCTATTGTATAGTAGTACTATACAACGCTGTACATTCTGTGAGGTTTTAATTTTGTTTAAACACAAGATAAATAATCAAATAAACAAATGATAATAGCATAAATTATGAAAAATGACCCAATAGTCACCATGGTGCTTATAATAATTACTTTGTTTAGAGGCTTCAATGCGCGGTGTATATTCGAAAGAGGAGGCGCTTAATCATTAGTGGTGCTTTTTAATTATCATTATATCCTAAAAACAAGACATCCCACAAACATGATTACGAGCCTTTTAAAAAAATTACATTATAAATATAATATAAAAAGGGAAAAAAATAATTGCT